AATGATTAAAATGCCACATCCTTTAAACCTGTACTCGGCTCAGCTTGAAATTTTACACTTTTATTAATTAATTCTGTCGCTATTCAAAAAAAAAATTTTTGAGAGAAAAAATACCGATTTGATTTTATTACCGTTTCCGATTGTTGATATTTAAAATTTTTTAACATTATATATCTACAAAGGCCTAAAGAAATTTAAATGAGGCTTTTAGCTCAGTTATATCCAAAGATATTTAAAATAGTTGGACCGAGCATAAGCTTAGGAGATATAGCATTTTAATTATCAACCAATTGTAAAACTTCTTATTGAATATTTGCTAATTAATTCATTGTAATGTATTTAAGTCAAAAGCTTTCAAATATTTTATTATTTTATGCATTTAAAAGATTTGAAAAAGTGTAGGAAGGGGGGGGGTATTGTTAATTTGTAATATATTGAATTCATTCACAAAGTTCCCAATTTTTTCTTTTTTTAGATTTTTAGACAGTTTTTCTTACTAGGCGTCGTTTTCATTTTTTTAAGGAATTTTTATCATGAATTAGAAATGCCTAAATATTTTATACTATAAAAACTTTCAAAATAAAATGACCCAATAATTTCTAATGCAAAAATAATTTTTTTTATACTGTTACAATCCATTCAATTTAGATAAACATTCAACACAACGCATGTATCGTTTATTCATTACAAACTAAAATGAATTTTCTTAAATCAAAATTTCAAAATATATCAAAAATATTTTATTTTTCTGATAGCACAGTAACGGCAATATAAAATAAATTTTCATAAACTTTGCCATCATGAACTCGATTTCGGAATCAAATCAGAATGAGACTTTTTCGCAACAGCCCATAACAAAAGTGCTTGCGATAGTTTAGGAGGAATTTCCAAAAGGTTAGCCGCAAGAGCTAGCCTTCAGCTTTATGAGAACCAGATAATAAATATTTTAGATTTATTTAATTTGCACGTGATACAATGGGTCATGGTGGATCCCAGTATGAGTGTGAATACATTTTATATTATTGTGACGAGCCTTCATAATTTTTGACAGGCGTAATTGGGCATGAACCTAAATTTTCCGTCACGGTAATTTTAATTTATAAAATTGTTTTTTTATGAATATAAATTTGCAATTTTATAATTATAATTAATTTAGTTCTTTTTGAAAAAAGTATAATTTTTGAAACCAAAAACATTACGCATTTTATAAACAACATTTTTTCCCCCTTTTTATAAAATTTCAATTGAATGAATAATAATAAATCTCTCAATTCTCGTTCACCAATGGAAATTTGGTAATAAATAAGTTAATTTAAATATGTTTTATGTCCATTTATCTTTACCAAAATTTATGAGGTAGGCTTAATTCTAAATCTGAATTTCAAAAGTCTTAAGTTTTTAATAGATGAAGAATAGAAAGATATATAAAACAAACTTAAAAATGGGAAATAATATAAAATTAGATGATATGCATATGTTAATGCCAACTATCATTTACTTTTCTAATTCACCCTGCACACATAAAAGAACCGTATATTCTAAAAGAAACATTTAGAGAATTTCTAGATGATTCTGATAGAGCAATAATATCTACCGATGAAAGTTGTGAGGATTAATTTAAAAGATTCATCGCTCATTAAACAAATAACAATAACAATATTTAGAAGTTTTGGAAACAGGAAAATTCATTTACTTTTTTGAGAAAATAAGCTAGCAAAATTTTGTCAGCCCCGGCAAGTTCGGCTTCTAAGGTTATTTTCTATAGCCAATCGTTTATTAGAGGAAAGGCGAACACAATTGAAATAAAAACATGTACATTCATCTTTTTTTAAATAAAAATTTGATTTGTAAGTTGTAATTATTTTGTGTTATTAATATGGAATTAGAGAAATGAAAACTATGTTCGAATAAATTCAAAAAGCGTAAAAATATAGCAATAAAGTTTTGAAAAAATTTAAAAACACCGTGAATTTTCGGGCGTGACCAAAATATTGTCTTTCGTGAGCGGGCGGGTCGGGTCGGGTCAAAATTTTATTAGTAGTAAGCGTGAAACGGCGTGAATGTCTAATTTATACCTCTTATGGAAAATAAAATTAAAGTTAAATTTTATTCATATTGTGAATTATTTAATTTACGACATATAAATTTAATAATATAAAATTATAGTTAAAAATTGATTTTTTTTTCTGGATCATAGGTTACTTTATTTGAATATTGACTAAAAATTTGAATTCATCAAATATAACAATAGTTTTCAGATCTTAAATGACTATTTTTTTTAAATATTAGACATAAAATATTTGATAGCTTTTTAGACTAATTAGTAAAATACCCATGTCTTCCAAACCTGTGCTCGGCCCAACGTGAAATTTTGCATACGTATTAGTTAATCCTATCATTATTCATTAAAAAAATTGAGAAAATGATTTGATTTTATGATCATTTCCGGCTTTCTTCATCCTATTTTTGATATTTAAAATATTTAGCATTATATAACTTTAAAGGTCTACCATTAAGCTATATAAAAAAAATTTAAATGATGCTTTTAGCTCAATTATATTCAAAGATATTTAATTTAAAGGAAGAACATTTTGCCCCAAATGCTCTATTTTTTCGACACCATATCTCAGTCGTTGTGTTGAAGGCTACAATTTTATTTTTTTCTTAGATGTAATATATTCAAATTCTTTAAAAATTTTAGAAAAATGAGGGGGTCGGGTTGAAAATGGTGTTTTTTGTTGATTTATCATTTAATTAACCAAATATGTTTTTAATTGACTCCAGGCGCGTACGCAAGAATTTGGTTTGGAGGGGGGGGGGGGTAATAAAATTTTTTACGAAATATTATTGTTTTTTAAAAATATCAAGCATAAATTTATTATGACTAATAACTATTTCTAATACACAATTTTAAATTAATGTGTATTATAAAAAAATTATATGTATAAACTGGCATATAAAAAACAATAAAATAATGTGAATTAAAAAATATTAAACGGATATAACTGGCGGTATATGAAAAACTATAAAATAAATGTGAATTATAAAATATAAAGTGAATATAACCACTATAAGAATACCTAAATGACCCTAAATAGAAATTTGAATCCTTTAAAATTTATATATAAAGTATAAAAAATTTAATTGTTGGAAATATATATTAATACACAAAAAGTTTCTTAGGAATAATTGTATTTTGTATGTTATATATTTACAATGTAAAATCCAATCTTCGTTGGGGTTGAGCTAATTTTGTCGTCAAATGCCTATGAATATTCAAAAGATACAAACCTTTCAATCTAATTTCAGTAGTTGTACTTCTTGGTATGTTTTTCAAGGACCCGTATTTTAACTTTTTTAAATATACCCGGGCTGGGCCCAAATTTTTTTTAAAAAAACACCCACGCCGGGCCTGAATTATTTTAAAAAAGCACCCAGGCCGGGCTGTATATTTTAAAACAGCCTATATTTGAAATCCTTATTATTAGCTATAAAAATCAAAAATAAATAAAATTTATTTTAAAAAAATCCGGGCCGGGCGTGAAAATTTTATTTAAAAAAAAAGCCAGGCCGGGCCTGAAATTTTTTAAAAAAAATCCGGGCCAAGCCCTGCAAATGGTAATTCTGCAGGGCTCTGTTATTCTTCTTAAAAAAGAGAATGTTCTCTCATTAGTTTACTAATGGGAAGAGTTGTTAATATATGTAAACCCTTTTAATACATTGGGAATATAATCTAAAATGTGTTTGAAATAATGCAGAGCATCCATAGCATTTTTTGAGACTATATCAACCATAGTTAATCTTATAAACATAGTTATTCAGCTAGTAAGGCATCATAAGATACTTTAACATCTTCATGATAAAAATCTAACGAATATTTTTTTTCTATCACCATCTGAGGCAGGCTTTTATTGAAGTAATAGATTGGTAAGTGTTGCATGATGAATTAAAAATTATTTGGGTTATAAATGTATCTGTAACTAAGATATACTCTTCTACTGATCCTATATTAACGTTTTAACGATGAGCTTGCCTTGCTACAAGTCGTGGGAGACAAATATTAAACATTTATAGCTCTGCTTTTGACTCAACAATTAAATATAAAATATGATTCTTCATCAACATTAGCCCTAATTTTCTTGAGTTCTAATAAAATGCTCTCCGCTATTCTCATCTTCTTAATCAAGCTATGTCATATTTTTGAAAAGTATTACATATAGTTTGTATAATTAAATAATACATTCTAATGAGGAAAAAAATTTGGAATAAGTATTGAATTTAATAATTTTCTTGCTTCTGAAGAAATATTACTTTCAGGTTATTGTGATATTTCAGTAATAATAATCGGCTAATCTAACTCCATAAAAGCTGTTACTGCATGATGGCGAAGACTCTATCTCGTTGGACAAACTTGCAATTTCCTTCTCCCTGTTGGACAAGAAGTTTCAGAAATAATTATTATTTGACTAGAAATTTGAAAATGGTAGATAAATATTACGCCTAAAAATTTGAAAATAATAAGTAAATATTACGCCGGAAAACTTGAAATTGAAATTAATTGATAAAATAACTTATGAATGTGATAATATGTAAATGTAATTAAATATATATATTTAATATGAGATAGAAATAAATATTAACAAATATATAAATTAATATAAGCAATAATATTTTTGAAAAATATATCCTGACATCTGCATTTTTTGGCTTGGGGGGAGGTATTTGCCCCCCCCCCCCGCTGCTTACGCGCCTGATTGACTCTATATATTAATAATGTTTATTGTTTTGTTTATTTATGGATAGAAGCATCCATATTTTACTCAAAAATATGAAAAGTTTAAAACATCGACACTCCTTTTTGACCAAAAATATTAATGTTAAACGTCCCATATGTGATAAATTTGTTTTAAAGAGTTATAAATATACACCAGTTTATTATTACATATTTGTAGATTTTATAAGGCAAACGTAAACATTTAGAATTTTATTTTCAAAAAAAGTTACATGTATTGGACGGATTGGGGCAATATGCCTAAGCTGGAGAGTGCACACATGGATGGAACCAACCGTAAAATCTTATTAAGTGGTGGCGATATGGGTTGGCCCAATGGTATCGTCGTGGATTACAGAACTGATTACATGGCAGGCAAAGGACTGCTATTCGATAAGAACCCTAGAATATTCTGGAATGATGCTATGAAAGATATGATAGAAAGTATGCGAGCCGATGGAACCGAGAGGACCATGATTGTTTCTCAACAAATTCCTCATAATTTTGGACTAAGTTTAATAGGTTTATACCCGATATATAAATTATATTTTATTGTGAAATTAGACGATCTTTCAGACTAAAAGCGTTGAAATGAATGATTACGGGTATTCAAACCGAAACTTGAAACTAAAAATTTTAAATTGATAAATAAAGCGAGCTGGTCATTCCATGACAATTCGATCTAAAAAGCCATTTTCATATCCTCTTTCAAATCATGTTGTGAGGACCTATGCAATTTATATTTAGCCCTAACATAATTAGTTCCGGGGATTAAAAATTAATCTTTATTTTCAATAATGGTAAAGGTTTGATTTTATGCTTAAATTTTCTAAAAATTTATATATATATATTTATTAAATCAATATAAATTTATTTAAAAAAAAATAATTTTTAGATGGCGATATGCTAAAAAATCTAAATTATTATTTTTTTTAAAATGAAATTAATATATGTAATTATAAAAACAACATTTAATTAATATTGATCTCGATTTTATTGTGATTTTCCAAACGTCAGCGGGTGTAAGCATGTAAATAAACCCTGTCGCTGTTTGAGGATTTACAATTCTAGTTTATCTTCATTTGGAAAAATGAAGGATGAAGAGGCTCCATGTTGATGCAGAAAACTAACCTGCGTTCTTTGGTTTATTCATTTTTATCTACAACTGCCAACCACCTTAGATTATAAAAACAAGTTACATAGCAATTAATATAATTCATTCTAAATCTCATGTCTTGATAAGTAATTTTTTCCACTTTACCTTCTTAAAGATTTGAATTAATTTTTATTTCAATAGTTCTCAGACCTAGTTATCAAACTACATGTATCTTTTGCATGTCAGTTGTTACTGTTGCGCGTAAAATTCCATCTTTTAAATTCTTCTCTGGTTGTTCGATCCCAAATACTCCCAGCAAAAATTTTGGGAAGGTCCGTCACGCCTAGTAATTTAAAATTTATTCACACTCATACTGTGACCAACCATGACCCATCGTGTCACGTGGCCCACCTCTAGTATAAACGCATGAAACTTTCATGTTACGGGACTGCGTTTAGCCCATTGAAACCTTGTTTAAAAAGATATTTTCCCATTTTTCACATTCATGGTCGTTTACGAACGACTTTGAATAACTCCTATGATATTTTTTATACAATTTTTTTATTTACTTTTGGGTATTTGATTTCCGATGCAGTATGATTTAATAGGAGATTCCTCGATTTCTTTTAATGAAACATTAATGTCCTCAATGATACTTTTCGTAATATCATAAATAATGTTGAAACTACTTTTGACATATTTTCCTTAATTTTTGATAATCCATTTCTACACAGGTAGGGCACAAGGGGAAGATTTAGCTAAAAAACTATGTTTTTTAAAAATATTATTTGTGACTTTCCTAATATCTTAAATATAGTTATGTTTTACTTATTGAATGGATTAGAGCAAACATATTTCTTTTATCCATTTCTAATTCAAATCGGATGGATTTAGCTAATATTAGGAAAACTGTCGAATTTTTTAAATATAGATTTAATAGAAATAACTGAGTTGATAAATATTTTAATTAAAATTTAAATATTTTTTAAAATAATATAAATTTTTATTATTAAAATATTGTTTTATATTAATTTTATTTAAAACTAGTAATAATTTAGATTTTTATATATCATCTAAATGACTTTTTTTATCGATAATTTAAAAAAAATTAAATAACTAAAAAATTATTATTTTCCCAACCTAATTTTTTTAATATAAATTTATATTGATTTAATAAATATATATAATTTTAGAATAAGTTCAAGAAGATTTTAAAAACTTTTTCCAGATATGAAAAAACTCCTGAGATTTTTTTAAAAAAATATAATTTTTTCAAGAAAGGGATTTAAGGGCTATCTAATGATACCAATATAAGTCTCTATCATTTATATTTTTTGAGTAATTTATATTTTTTTTCTTTTCCAAATTAGGAAGGACGCCATTATTTTTAGCTCTGACACGCTATATCTCAGAAACTAAGTAATGCATAAGTCCTCACATATTAGCGTGCAAAGTTTTATCCGATTTGAAAGAGGTCCACGAAATCTGATCCATTTAGCGTGAAATGACCCGAGCCTTATTTGGCTGCTGATTTGAGGTCTTGATTGGACTATTGATCATAGTTCAAGATCTTCCTTAAAAGAAATAAGCATAATATTGATGAGAAAGGGGTGAACATGTGTGTCATTCGGTGCAAGAATAATTTCGAATAATAAGATCGTTTGGCTACATAAGGTAAGAAGATATGGTAATTGTAGACCCATTTAAATAGTGCCATTATCGGTAGTAAAAAAAAAGTAAAAAAACACAAAAAATACATAATTAAAAACTAAAAAAAACGAGAATAAAATACTAAAAATAACATACTTTAATATTACTTACTATTTTTTTTATAAAAATTAGTTTATTAATTTAAAAAAATAAATTTTTATTAATGACGGAAATATATTTCATTTTTTCATTAATAATAGCTTAATAGTGCGCACATATTAAACGTTGCAACGCAGCGTTTCAAAACGCAAACAATGTATTTTAAATGCATTCGTTCAAATTGAACACATTTCCGTTTTTCATTTAAAATTATTCTTTAAAAGACAAATTTGCTTGCGTTTTTTGAAACTTTTTAAATTTTGAAGTGATAAAATTCTTCTAAATTGTAAGAATAATTATTATTAAATGATATAACAATATTTTTAGGACATGGAACGATGAAATTACCGAAAGGTTTGCAGAAATGCTGAACTCTTTTTCATGTCAAGTATCAGCTGAATAAGGAGAAAATAGAAAAACTTACTTAATTAAATATTCATGTTATTTATTTTATTGGTAAGTTGATAATAACTACTTGAAAAATAAAGAGTAGGGCTGTGCCAATCCTCAAATTCTGTTCTGACGTTACTACATAGCCTATCCAATATTGATCCAAAATTTATATTGATTTTACTTACCATCTATATTTGAATAAATCCCACAAAATATTTTACTATTCATAAAAGATTATTTATTCTCAAAAAGTTAATTACCTTGTATAAAATATTAGAAATGTTAATTTTCATGTGGAAATCTCAACAACAAATAAACCTAAAGTACTGAATGAATTTAATTGGTTAATAAATGTTTTGGAAGAAAGCCCATCTGGGATGCTGTAAAGCTAATTTATATTTTAAATTTATTTATATTTTATTTAATAATTTTTTGGTAGTTGTAGAGGAGGCTGAATCCTTAAGCTATGAGAAGGAATTTCTCTTTAAAACAGGTTATGAAATATTTATATTATCTCAAGACAAATGATATTTCATCAGAACCTATATCATCACAACCTGACAATGATTCTCCATTAGACATTTTTAATTGCATTATATAAATTATTTATTCTTTATAAAAATGTATTTTGTATATTTTATAGACAAATGATATTTCATCAAAACCTATATCATCACAACCTGACAATGATTCTCCATTAGACATTTTTAATTGCATTATATAAATTATTTATTTTTTATAAAAATGTATTTTGTATATTTTTAATAATTTTTTAATAATAGATGTTGTAAGATATTAGAATTGATATTATTTTAAGTTTGAGGTTCATTCCTCAAGATTTTAAATAGCTAAAGAGGCTACACCTAGAATAGTGTCCATATAAATAAATTTTTCTTAATATTCAATCTATTTATTTATATCATTTAATAACATAATTGTCAATAAAAATTGACAATTGTCATAATCGTTATTTTTGAACTTTTTTAAGTTTTTTTAAAGAAAATGGGTAAAAATATGTTTTGTAAACATGTTAAATTAATATTTCAGTGAAAGTGTACTACGTTATTTTTGAACTTTTTTAAGTTTTTTTAAAGTAAATGGGCAAAAATATGTTTGGTAAACATGTTAAATTAATATTTCAGTGAAAGTGTACTATGGAAAAGTGACAATTGTCATAATCGTTATTTTTGAACTTTTTTGAGTTTTTTAAAGTAAATGGGTAAATATATGTTTTGTAAACATGTTAAATTAATATTTCAGTGAAAGTGTACTATGGAAAAGTGACAATTGTCATAATCGTTATTTTAGAACTTTTTTGAGTTTTTTTAAAGTAAATGGGTAAAAATATATTTTGTAATCATGTTAAATTAATATTTCAGTGAAAGTGTACTATGGAAAAGTGACAATTGTCATAATCCTTATTTTAGAACTTTTTTGAGTTTTTTTAAAGTAAATGGGTAAAAATATGTTTTGTAAACATGTTAAATTAATATTTCAGTGAAAGTGTACTATAGAAAAGTGACAATTTTCATAATCGTTATTTTTGAACTTTTTTGAGTTTTTTAAAGTAAATGGGTAAAAATATGTTTAGTAAACATGTTAAATTAATATTTCAGTGAAAGTGTACTATGGAAAAGTGACAATTGTCATAATCGTTATTTTTGCTGAAATATTAATTTAACATGATTACAAAACATATTTTTACCCATTTACTTTAAAAAATCTAAAAAAAGTTCTAAAATAACGATTATGACAATTGTCACTTTTCCATAGTACACTTTCACTGAAATATTAATTTAACATGTTTACAAAACATATTTTTACCCATTTACTTTAAAAAAACATAAAAAAGTTCAAAAATAATGATTATGACAATTGTCACTTTTCCATAGTACACTTTCACTGAAATATTATTTTAACATGTTTACAAAACATATGTTTACCCATTTACTTTAAAAAAAGTTCAAAAATAACGGTTATGACAATTGTCACTTTTCCATAGTACACTTTCACTGAAATATTAATTTAACATGTTTACAAAACATATTTTTGCCCATTTACTTTAAAAAAACTTAAAAAAGTTCAAAAATAACGATTATGACAATTGTCACTTTTCCATAGTACACTTTCACTGAAATATTAATTTAACATGTTTACAAAACATATTTTTACCCATTTACTTTAAAAAAACTTAAAAAAGTTCAAAAATAACGATTATGACAAT